ATTAAAACATATGCTCATCACTTAGTCCCATAAATCTGCCCGGCACAATTATCAGTTTCAATTTGTGCGTGAAACTGTTTGATATCACAGACGACGACCACGACGAGACTGCCGATGTCAATTAGTAGAATCACTAGAGGAGCTGCACCCCTTTCATGGCGATGGGGGTAATTTTCCGCCACTCGAGGGGAGATGCCATCCCATTTGGCTCATTAAAATGCCGCCGCAATTGTTGGAGATCGAGGAGAATCCCAGTGCCATCCCAGAATCCCACTGCCATCGATGCGTTGAGGTGGCAACACAGGGCACTCTACACTCCATGCTCGAGATTCGGATGCGGTCTCAAGATCTGTCAGTCAGCCCTGAGTAATTACACCAAATTAATTGCCCGTAGTTGTCAGGGCTCACATTGTCTGCTAATTTTTTCTCGATTGCATAGTTTTTCTTTAATTGCCGCCATCAGCAGCCCATGAATCCGAATTGATTCTGCATTTGATCCAAAAAAAAATAAAATCCCCATTCAAACCGTAAAAAACCACTAAAAAAGCACGGAAATCCGAGAACAGCCCCTTAATCTGGCGCTTTGCGACTGATTGTGTCGTAAAAAGCGAAACACTCCTATATGATTTAAACTGCATGTTTTGTAAGAATCTAATTTGATAATTGGTTGTAATTTATGAGTCTTGTCTGCTCGCCTGAAACATAAACACAGCACAGAATGACGGAATGACGCCTTTTACTCCTCGAGCTCCTCCCCAAGCATGTTTCTCAGAAAAGAGCACCGAGGACCGGGAAGTCACATCCCGAACTCCGAATTCGAAACGAGCGCACATTAAATTAATAATATGCAGTTCATTCTCTCTCATTTTTTCTTAATTAATATTTATATCTGTCAGTTTATAAGGCGTAGGCTGGTCTGCTTTGGATGTGGCTTCTCCCGATGAAGTTTTCATGAATGAAATTAACAGCATACTTTGGGCGGGGAGGTGAACATGATTCATGACCGATACTTATGGATGTTCAGACTTCTGGAAGGATAATACAATCTGTACATGATCATTTTGAATTTCCGCAGTAACGGATATACCACTTTCTTGATATCTTTTTAGCAGAAAATCATGCTTTCGCTTCTAAAAGTTTTATAAATTATTTTGTAATTAATTTGTATATTTTCTATAAAAACATCGAAGTCCACAAAATTAATTTAAGAAGCCTCCTGATTCTGTTTAATATTAAAATTTTATTTAATACTTTACTAATATAACGCATTGTGTCTTGTTTATTAAAACGTCCCTCTATATATATTTAAAAAACATTTTTTATACCAAATAATTTTTTAAAACATTTTGTTTTTGATATTAAATCAAAAATTCGAAATAAAATTTTAATTGGTAAAAAATAAATAGAATTACTTAACATTAATGAGCGTCATAAAATGAATATACAAATAAAACCCGTAACCAAAGTGTATCTAAAATGCATTCCACTCGTTTGTAGGACCATTTTTCTATATCATTGCTTGCTCTATTAGGTTTTCACACAAATTAGTCCCGAAGCAAACAAATAGACAGCCCAACGGATTAATCAGGATACAGTTTCCCAAAGAGTTCAATGCACGCCCGCAAAGGAATCCCTTGGCGATGCGGTCCAACTTCACCTTTGACGTAATCGGAAACCACAGGAATATGCGAGACAATGGCGTGGGAGTGTCACAGATACAGATGTTTGCCGTGGCCCAATGATCGATGTGCCGGCGAGGCCCAAGTTAGACGTAGCTAACACCCTGCAGGACTTGATGCATCATTAGCTGGATGCGATGACAAAAAGAGGGGACAAAAAACATGGACTTTATGGGCGGAGGACGGACTGTTCCACGCGACTGCCAGTGCAACTCCGCCCGTATTCCGACCGACCGTGATTTATGCTGCGTGCGCCTGACAAACACTTGAGAAGTGATGATTTATAATGAAGATGCATGCTCGGTTATTAATTAAATTCTGACGCGGCTGCGCTCCATTTAAAGTTAAATGCGAGCATCAAACGAGCTGATCTTGTTAGGTTAAGGGTTGGGCTCTTATGCAACAACCGGCCAAAAAGACAAAACATCCGTAATTAATTCGAAATGCCAGAGTCAAAACAAAGTCTTTAGTGGAATTCTGAATATTTTAGGTCAAGAGCAGGATAACTTAAAAATGTACATATTAACATTGTTTCCATAAAAAATAGTATTATAATTTTGTTTCAATGGTTGTAATATGTCCGATTTGTCTTGTTAAAAAATGTATTGATCATTAAACGATCACATTTTCATATATTAGTTTTTTTTAATAAAACGGTTTTTTAATAAAATTTCAAAAAGAGCACATAAACTTTTACATATAAAGCACGCTCAATTTAAACGAATTCTTCACGAGTTTACTGACATCCTATCGTTTGTTTCTTAAAGCCGACCTTTGGATAGAAAATCACAAAAACAGTTACGAACGAAATAAAGTTTGTCAGATGGAAAAATAATCATACAAGACCATTTGATAGTACAATCTTCTAAGGATAAGTCTAGCAGCCGGAAGAGAAGCCACCAGATTGGTGAACGATTCGAAATACCAGAGTCGAAGACAAAGTCTGCCCTCAGTCTGGCAGCGGAATTTGAAATATGGCAAGCAATAGTCGAATATTCATTAAGCGCAATTATGAAAATTAAGTTGTCATTTTGATTTGAGTGCCCGCGACACTCGGGCATGCGGCCTCATAAGCCGATCCCCTCGTCCCGCGACTATTCTCATTAAATTAAATCAAACTGACAGCTCGGCCGGCTAAATGGATGCGATGCGATTCGTCCTCGCCGCCCTTTCGCTCTCGGATCGCGGCGACTAATTAACGTGTTTTCACATATTTTGTTCAAATCGCGCATGAATAATTAAGACGTTATCACACGGCATCTGGGCACGGCACCCTGTAGCAAAGTAAATGACGTGGAGTTGGCTGCTGGCCAATTGGAAACTAGTGTCTCCAATGCCGCCAGCTAATTTCTCAGATCCTCCCCTTCGCGCCACTCTTTATTCCCCCCTTCCCAGCACATTCCGTCTGAATTATGTGTTCATAATTTCGAATTAATGAAAGTTTTACAGGGGACTTGGGCTCGAGCAGCCAAGATGCAGACACCCACAAATGTTCTTCGTCCATTCTCAGATCAAAAATGATAGTTTTAGTTATTCATTACGAAATTTGTCTATAAAACCTCAAAGTCTCAGGGATAGCTAAATTTCAATATACTTGAGCTACAATAAGCTGAATGAACTAAACAAATTTATATCTGACAGGAAACCCAATATAGTTTATTAAATATTTTCGAATTAGTAACTATAACTTCAACTAACTCTAGTTACGCCAAAATAAAAAGATTTAGTTAATTCAGACTATATCCATAGCTTAATCGAAAAAGTAAAAAGTTACTTTTAAGATCAACTTACATATACTTTCTACATTTATTTAGTTCAAATTAATGTTCTTTAAATGTCATGCTAGTTATTTACCACACTTGAAATTAATATTAAGGAACTGAATTTTGGTTATTTCGTAAATCCAAAAATCTATTGATTTCAGTTTTTTTTACTTTTTTAATTTTTAAAAGGTTTAACTATCTATACGTAATTGAAAATAAATTTGTAAGGTCCGTTGGGGACTAAACCCGTATTAACGATAATAACCTTTTTCTTTATTTCCAATAATGCTTCATTTTTATACCCTTGCAGAGGGTATTATAATTTCAGTCAAAAGTTTGCAACGCAGAGGAGACATTTCCGACCCTATAAAGTATATATATTCTTGATCAGCATCACCGGGAGAAACGATCTAGCCATGTCCGTCTGTCCGTCTGTCCGTCTGTCCGTCCGTCCGTCCGTTTCTACGCAAACTAGTCCCTCAGTTTTAAAGCTATCTGCTTGAAACTTTCCCAAAAAGTTGTCTTTCTATTGCAGGTAGTATATAAGTCGGAACGAGCCGGATCGGGCGACTATATCGTATAACTGCCATATAACTGAACGATCGGAAAAGCCATAACTTTGGTGTTTTTTAAGTTAGGAAGTTGAGATTTTCTATGGGTTTTATTTTTGGCCAATCAGTCTGACCTACCAAATTTCATAAGGATCGGTTGACTATATCCTATAGCCGCCATATAACTGATTGATCGGAAATGCCATAACTTTGGTGTTTGTAAAGTTAGGAAGTTGGGATTATCTATGGGTTTAATTTTTGGCCAATCAATCCGACCTACCAAATTTCATAAGGATCGGCCGACTATATCTTATAGCTGCCATATAACTGAACGATTGGAAATGCCATAACTTTGGTGTTTTTAAAGTTAGGAAGTTCGGATTTTTAATCAGTATTAAGAATGCATCATATAAATAATTTTGGAGAATATAATTTACAGAATATTCTGCAAGGGTATATCAACTTCGGCTCCGCCCGAAGTTTGCTTTCCTTTCTTGTTTGTAATAATTTAAATATTTCAAATGAGGACACGTGCCTGCACACCAATGCACAGAAACCAAATCCAGTCCCCCAATATCGGTCGACCGCTCATTAATCAAACGAATGAAATATGTTGGCAAACGTATTAAATATATTTAGCAAGCCATCGAAATATTAAATAGCGCTACTTGTAGACAATTAGCCAAAAATTATGACTTTTAATCACAGACGAGGCGACAAAAAAGAGACCGAACATAAAATAGACGGAGACGAACCAGAGCCACGCCTCCTCGCCACAATTTCACACATGTTTTAAAAATAAACGAATTTGTGTGCCGTCTTCAGTGAAAATCGGAATATGTTCCCGTTTCCTTCTCTCCTGCAGTTCGGCCATATGGAGTGAGTGGGAGAGGGATATATATGGCTTAGGCCACGCCCCGACAGGCGATCATCTTGAAAAAATCGGCCAGTGAGCAGGATGCTCCGAATATTCAAATTAGTTTTCCGTAAGATCTTGACGCGCGCTGTTGTCTGCGGGATCTGACTCCGATACGATTCCTTTTGGAAGCTTTCAAGAACATCTGCAAGATTTATTGATTTTCAAATCGCTTTGAGTCGGTGGAAATATGAATTCACAATCGGCAGTGCGTCGCTACCCACACAGTTTTTCAATAGAGCAAATTCTGGCCAAGCCGGAAATCAGTTCCTCCAACACCTTCCAAGAATCCGCGCAGGATGACAGTGGGCACGGTTGCATAAGTGGTGTTTCACGTGTTTCTAGTCCAGCGACATCGAGTTGTTTGGAGGATAATTTAGACGACGGCAAAAGTGATGTTGATTTGGGCTCAGATGATGGAAACGGTGCGTATGATTAATATGCTGTCAAAGTGCTTGAGGAAAATGATTTGTTAATAGCTTTAAAATTTTTTCCTGAGTCTATTATTCTATTTAAATCTGGACTACAAAAACTTTCTTATTTTTTAATTCATAATTTTAGACGAGGTTCAGATAATTTAGTTATTTTTACTCATAAATAGGGTTTCAGTAATAATAGAATAAAATACTGCAAGAAAAGCAATATCTTGTAACAATCCAATGGAAAACAACGGATTCTATTAATCATGTTGTGCTCCTTTTATACCATATTGTAAAATAGAGTTAATTTCAGATTTTGCAGATCCTAAAACGTAGATAGCATAAACTTTAAACAAGAAAGAAAGCCGACTTCGGCTGCCGAAGTTTATATACTGTTGCAGCCGTAACAAAAATTAAATATTCTATTTTTCGATTTCGATGATTAAAAACGATGATTTTTATAGAAATAAGACCTTTTAGAAAATGTGAGTATATGTTAAGAAACAACGAAGCAATATTTTGATTCCCATTTTGTTCTAATGGGAGCTATATGATAGAGTAAGCCGATCCGTCCCTTTCCGGCTTATATACTACCTGAATCATTAAAATAGCTTTAAAACTGAGGTACGGACAGACGGACATGGATGCTGATCACGAAAATATATACCTTATAGGGTCGAAAGCGTGCCTTTCCCGCGTTGCAAACTTTTGACTAAAATTATAATACTTTCTGCAGGGGTATACAAATTCATAGATAACTGTCCTACCGGAACTGTTAAAGAACATGAGGTATTTCCCTATTTAAATAAAAATAGATTTCCTTTGATGATGATGAGCATTTGTTTTTATATATTATTAGTGTAAACACTATTATATTTTATATTCTTTACATATGATTGGTTATGCCAAGCAAAAATGAGATGAAACTAAAATTCAGGAAAATATTTTTTAAGTCCATTTAGTGCGGTTTAGAATAATCCATAAGAAGCTTAGCACCCCCTTAAATAATTAAGTGTATATGTTCAATGTGTCGCCCACCTGAAAGAGCGAGTGTTTACGGCTGAATGATCTCATCTGTCATCTGTGCGATGAAGAAACAAATGATCAGGAATTAGCTTTTTGGGTGACAAGGAATAAGCCATCCACCGTCATTTTTCGCACCCCGCCAACGCAATCAGCTAATGATGCAGATGTCAAAAGCAAACAAAGATCGGGCACGATCTCAAAGGAAAGCTTCCACCCGTAAAGAAGGAATTTATTTGACAATTTGTTTTCGGTCAGGCAAGAGAATGTACGGCCAAATGGCCAATTAGACGCCTTGGCTAAGTGAAATGCAACTTTTCGAATAAAGAGACTTTGGGATGGGGGAATGAATGCAACCTTGCCAACGGATCGACAAATTACAATTAGGCGAAAATAGTTGGCACTGCTTTCGAGAATGGCCGCTGTCGGTAGCAATTAATGTCTAATTTAGATCGGTACGCCTGATGATTTCAATTCTCTATTTCGTTCCATTGCAGCCCTTGGCGATGACCGCAAAAAGCGACCGAGAACCGCCTTTTCGGCAGCCCAAATCAAAGCCCTGGAAACCGAGTTCGAGAGGGGGAAGTACCTATCGGTGGCCAAAAGAACGGCGCTGGCCAAGCAACTTCAGCTCACAGAAACGCAGGTGAGGATGGGAATCCATAGTAAAAAGATTATATATTAAATCTTACTACCAGTTATTTGGAGAGTAAAAGTATAGAACATAGAAAAGAAAGCGTTTTCGACAATGTAGGTCTTCTTGATCAGCATCAAATGCATTCCCTCATGTCTTCAAAGAGCAGAAAATTAGCTAGAATTTATTTATTTATACTTAAGTTTTTATAAATTGTCCCCATTGTTCAGTTGCTAGCTTGAAAATTATCCTCTTCTTTGGTATTTAAAATTGTATGCTAGTTCCTGTAAGTTCACAAAATCCATATTTACCTATTTCTGAATCCTATGTAGATCAAGATCTGGTTCCAGAACCGTCGCACCAAGTGGAAGCGCAAGTACACCTCGGACGTGGAGACGCTGGCCTCGCACTATTACGCTCAGCTGGGAATTGGGGGATTGGCCAGACCTATGGTGGTTGGAGATCGGCTGTGGCTCTTCAGCCAGACTCCAACGGGTCCCACACCCATTCAATCCATCATGCTAAATGGCAGTGGATCTGCTGCACCCATGGCAACGGCAGCGGCGAATGGTTCCCCAATGCGTCCGTATCCCACCAGTGGGGGAATGCCACCTTTGCCGGGACCCAGTGTGATGGAAAGTGCTCGCAATGCCATCCTGGCACGGGGTCAACCCTTGAACTTTGCTCTCCCCTTTGGAGTGGCCAAGCCACCGACGGGAGGTGTGCCATCCGCCAGCTACATGCCACGTTGCAAGTCGTACGGGGGAAGCTATGTGGATTATGCGGCGTCACTTCCACCAAACGAGGCCTATCTGCAGATGAAGTACGCGACCCTGCCGCCGGAAACGGAAGCGGGCTCTTCCAATGGGCTGGCCGAGCTGGAACGAGTATTCGGGGATGCCAATGCCAACTTCCTGCAGCAACGGGGCACTCCCGCCGCTGGAGCAGCAGCATCCTACGGCCACGAAGGATTAAATCAGGCACAAAGGAGCCGGAGACCCACGCAATCAGAGTCCGAGTGCAGCGACATTGACTGCGAGCAGCTGGACGAGGATGAAGAGCCACCTGCTACGGAGTGAAACTACTAAGTTTAATATTTATATTTTATGTTCCGTTCGTCTCTCACACACAAAAATATGCTCATACAAAGGGTAGTCATAGGGGGTAGAGTACGTGTCTTGTCTGTCTAGATTCGATTACAACTAGCTGAGAGTGGCACACTTTCAGACCTGCCCGGGATTATTGGCTCACCCCTTCTGGCTTAGCACTGGTCTAGTTCTCGTTCTAGTTCTAGTCCTAGCGCTAGTTATTGCTATTCTATGTTACATTGTGGGTCGGGTATTGTTTAGTGACTGGCTCTCAACAATTAATAAATGTAAATTAAATAATCACAAATCACAAATATTACACGTCCGTTGCAGTTAGAACTCGAGTTGGATCAACTTAAATGCTAAAAGTTACACGCTGAATACTATAACTTAACCATTGCTATAATTATTTGCAATTTAACATGATAGGTTGAGAGAGAGCTGTAACAAAAGCGAACGACACTGACTTATTTACAATTCATTGCGTTGCTTGTGTGGCATGCTAGAATGGAACACTTTTTGCTCTTGCCACACAGTTCGGTTAACTACTATACATAGTGGAGACTCATTGGATTTGATTTTGTTACGCCAACAGCAGGACAGTAACTCAGGGAACACGAGAGCACACTTTTATGTGGAAAATGTCTCGTTTTGATACATTTCCTTGAGAAGTCATGTCTATCTCGAGCCCCTGGTTTACGCGATGGCAAAAAACAGCGGAGTCTTTGCGACTGCCGCCCGTTTAAGGAGATTCCATAGTTACAACTTAGCTAATTGGTCAAACAATAATAAAAATTAATAGGGCTATTTTTTGGTATTACAAGCACACGGGGCTAGCTGTGTGGTGGTGGAGGTGGATTTGGCGGTGTCCTAGATTTAGCGTCGTTAGCTCCACGACAGCTCGTAGCCCTTCCAGTTGGCATTGGGGGCCAAGTGCACGCGCCGTTTGTTGTAATAGAAGGAGACGATGCCATGGTATGCAGTTCGAGGAACACCGCTCTGTAAAGATTAATAATAGTATTGTTGTAAAAATATTAAATAATAAATAGGACCATTGATTCACCTTAAAGTCATCCATAAGCCCCAGCATCTTGGTTGTCCGCTTGTATTGTTCTCTTGTAGTGTATTGTATGCGAACAGGTCCTTCGATTCTGTAAAAAAATCATCAATTGGTCAATAGTGTACAGATCATTTTAGCACAAAATCGAAATTGAGAAACAGAGTTGCTCAATCAGCATAGAAAGAAAATGTTGTGATCGAATAAAATACTATTAAATTTACGCTTTGCTACGCTAAAGAATTTACAAAAAAAAAAAACAGAAAATGGACAACTCACCTAATCAAATTTCGACGCAATTCATCGTACGTAACAATGGGATACGTATAAACGCGCTGCAGAAATGTATTATCATAATTGTCCTAAATAGAAAATAGTAATTTATGTGCTCAAGCAAAAATACACTTGTTTACAAACCCTTAGCAGGTAGCTCATATTGATTTTTGTGAACTTCACAAAGTCCTCGCTGAGTTTAATGTGCTTCAGATACTTATCAAAGAACAAGCCGCTGATAAAAAAGACAAAATATCATTAGCAATTAGGGGGCATTTCGTTCCAATTTGTGCTCGTTATCTCTTACTTGGATACGCCTATTTTTCCAAACGTGCGAGTCCGCGATATTTCAGGCCTAATGCACACGCGATCTTTGCGCTGGGCTGGATGACGTATCCAATCATCCCAGAAGCTAGAACAGTCAATGGACAATTAGCGATCATCTGGCAAACGGCATAATTGCCCCACTCACGATTTGGGCCATTTGACGGACAGTTCGGCCCACAGCTCGTTGGTGAGCATCCAGCCGAGACCAGGGAAGAAGTCGGTGCGGTAGAGCAGCTCCGGCTGCGCCGCATCCACCACTGCAGCCTTGCCGTTGTCGTTCCAGGCGGACACGCACCACAGGCTGGGATCCTGCTTGAGCAAATGGTGTGTGCCCAGGAAGTACTCGAAGAAGTCGGGCGCCACGTTCAGGTCGTCCTCGACGATGATCACAAACTCAAAGCCCACGCCGAAGGTGGTGTTCAGGGCCCACCCGTAGTGCCGTGCTATCTTGTAGTAGCCCTTGAACTTTTTCTCCTTCGGCAGCACGGTGATATCGCTCAGATCGGGCTGCTCGATCAGGGTTACCTGGTTGCCATAGGAGAGGATCACCTCCTTGGTGGGCTCGTCGCCGCAGTCCTGGGAAAGGGAAAATAATTATAATGATGTAGGAAAGGGGATTATGCTAGATTCCTACCTGTGACACTATAATGGGGAACTGCTCAATGCTGGGCCTGTACTGGACCAGGTTGTCGATGCACTTCTTCACCGACACCCGGTTGCACGCAAAGACCAGAACTGGGAAGACGGGCTCGCCGGTGGCCAGATATGTTTTCCATGGAATCCGCGCCGTGGCCACCTTGGCCGCCTTGGCCACATGCTGCTCGGGCAGCTCCGCAGATATTTCAGCGGCGACAATGCTGATCTGGGGCGTGGAGACCGCCGACGGCGGTTTCGGCTGGTTCTCCAAGTACTTCATCTTGACGAACTCGAAGATGTTCTTGGCCAGATGATGGCTCTGTAGGTTGGCCTCGCGCGCCTGCGAGTTGATCCGGTAGGCATGGTGCGCCTGATCCCAACTCGTGTGGATGCCCGTTTGGCGCATCAGCAGATAGTAGGTGGCATAGGTCCACGTAACCAGAAAGCCAATTACCAGCAGCACCTTGCGCGATCGCATCTTCGGGGGGGTTGGTGGGTGTTGTTGGTTTTGGCGTAGGTGGTGGGCGTCTGCTGCAGTGCGACTCTACCGCTGCAACGACATTGGCGTGAAGCTGGCTGATCGGATTCGGTGGGATTGGGATTGGAAGCCCTCGGCTGGCCCTTCTACAGAGCTCCCTTGTCGAGCAGCAGCAGCCGTGTCCAACAAGCGTGTCCAGCATCGGGCACGGGCCCAGCTGGAATCGTCGGCATCGACTATATGTATGTATATTTAGTTGCGGGTCGCGGGTCGCACGTCACACTCCAGCGACCGCCAACCTGGCAGTTTTCTTATATTCTCGGATTTGGATTCTGGATCGGATTGGATCGAATCGAATCGAATCGAATCTGGTGGCAAATCGAATCGCGGATATGTCACACGTACAACTGATCCGCAGAAGGTCCTATTGATGTGTTGGCCAGTTGGATTGCCGAGTTTGTTTGCTTAGCTGCCGGCTCTCGCTTCAATTGACAGCCACTGGTTACGTGTTTGCCTGTAATTTATTTGCATTGCTTAAAATGTAAACTATTTGGTGAGAGAAACGCCAGCGTTTTGGAGATGGAACTGAAGACGTTGTTTATACGATACTATCGGTGTGGCCAGATGTGCCAGGCAAAGGCACTAACACGTCACTAAAAACGGTGTGAAAGTGCCTCTTCTTCTTCGTTAATAGGGGGATTCATGGAAAGTGAAATTACGCGGTGTTTTTGAAATGCAAATATTTAAACATAAAACAGTAGGGAATTCGTACCGAGAAATAATTGTGATATAACCATTATTTCATTTAACAGATCTAGTAGGTGTCAAATATTAATTCTGCATGCAGATTAATAAAACGGTAGTATAGTTAAGGTGCTTAAAATGTTTTCAAAAATGGAAAAAATCAACGTTTTTCAATTAAGACATTAACAGTCACCTAAATAAAATTACAGTTAAAAATTGATTTAAGATTCAATTTGCAGAGTAACTTCTCAGTAAAAAAAAGTCATAAAGTCATAATAAAATCGAGTCGTTAAAAAATGAATTAAAATGTTAATCTGATATAAACAAAGAAACAATTGATTATCGTTTCACTGATATGCAGTTAAAGCAGTTTGTCGAAATTTTAAAATTATATTTGGGATCATAGAGTAATTTTCTAATGTAATAATTTGGCAGTCAAAAAACTCAAAGACAGTTGTCATTTCCGGTCTATAGCATCTCTCAAAATCTGCTTTTTCGTACACATCTTTTAAATACCGACGTGGGTTTTCATTAATATTGCTCCTTTTTTATAACCCACTCAAACTATTTTTAGATATTTTACCAGCTTTTATAATTTAATGGCTGCCAATTTTGCAGAACCAATGTTTTCAAAAGCTTCTGCTGTTGGAATGAGACCTAACGAATTTCCATATTTATCGCAGACGTTTCTTACTGCACCTATGTACATAATGGAACTTTTCAAGATACACTCATATTCTCATTATGAACTTAATAGCAAAGCACTTTCTAAAAAGCAGAAATAGGAGAAAATATGACCCACCAAATAATTCCCCACACTATTCAATTGCATTCATTGGTTTAAATTAATCAGATCCAGCAAAGTCGTTTCGATCAGAGTTTCGTTTAATCAATTAATTCGTTTAGTTTAATCGTTAATTAAATTAGCTTAACAGTTACACTTAGGAGACTAGTAGGTGCTTATGAGTTAGACCGAGTTCTTCAAGTTCTCCAATATATATGCATATTTATATATTTATATGTAAGTGTTTTGTGTATTTTTATAAGAATCACTGTTGTCTGTCTGTTTCTGTCGCAATGTCGCCTGCCATAAGTCGTAGAAAACCTAAGCTACGCATACATTTAAAGTTAATTACGTTTTGTAAATGGCAGTTACATCAAGTATAGGTATATATTAGTAGTTAGGTAGTACATTAATATTCCCTCCTTCGTTTATTGCCACTGCACGCAATTCCGCCCTGATTAGCATTCCTCGCACTCGCACTTGCTCTTGCACGTCGTTCACGCCTTGAGAGATTTACAACTTCTACATCAGCCGCCAACTCAGGGCCCCAAGAAGCGTCCAGAGAGCCAGCGACAGGCCGATCGATGCCGATCCCGATCCGGAGCTCAGGTGTCCCAGCTCCCGCTCGTCCACCACGAAGGCGGGCTGAGCACTGGCGGGCGTCAGCTCTAGGGCAATGTTGCCACGGCTATTCCTGGCCAGGCGCTGGTTGTTCAGCTTCAGCTCCCGCAGCTTCTCCTCCAGCTGCAAGACCTCATCTGTCAAAGGAAAAACCGATAAGTACGGGTTACACAATTATTTGCACTTAAATATTTTAATACTTAAGTATTAATCTAATGGAATAATGTATTTCTTAAAAATTGGTATTGTTTACAAGCTAAACAATATATTTTTTGTCAAATACATTTGCTTAAATATTTAAAAACCAAACATTTTAAAATGGTTCAAGCGTTTCATAAAGATATTTTTTAAGTGTAATTTTTTCATTTATTCTATAAATAATACAAATTGTAGACAACTCAGGACTCTTAAATGATTAAATGATTAAAAGCTTAATTAAGGAACAAAAACCTAAAATAATCTTAGACTTTAGATTGATTTGTCTATTAACTGTCAACATTTAGGTCCGTTTTCTCATGGTATAATCAAAGAAAGATTTCTTAAGTGCGAAAAACAGGCCTCAGTTTAGGGCATGTAAAACTCACTCTTGTTGACTCCTTCGATGTCCTGCACTTGCAGGAACATGGCCAGCGATATTTCGTAGACCTTGTTTGCTGCACTGATCTCCCGCTTGCGACGGCCAAAGCCCACCTGGTTGTTGGAGCACTGGGTGCCCAGACACTTGTCCAGACACACATTGACCGTGGCCCGGAATTGAACGTACGACGAGTCGGGGAACTTGAAGGCCTTAAACTTGGCACTCAAAACGTCGCCGCCGATGGTGTTGAAGTTCTCAAACAGATAGGGATCCACAGTGCATCTGAATTGGGTAGAAAATCGTTTATTAGGTGAATTTACTATTTAGATATAAAAGTGTTTTACCCCTTAAAGATCAGCGTTTCCGAAGAGGTATGCGTGTCCGTCACATCCAAATAGTTCACACCCACACCATAAACAGGGGCAGAGTCCTCATCTAGGTTAATTTCCATTGTCAGGGGTGTGCCCTATTGCAAAAAAAGAAACAAATAAGTACGAGAATTATAATGATTCGTTTTAAGGTCTCCGTACAAATATATTACATAATAATTAAAAGTAATTTTTAATTAACATTGTTAATTGTTAACATTTTAAATACAATTTATTAAATGTTTTTCTTTTATGTACTTTAGTATCGTCATCGTCCTTTTTTTAAACTATTAACATACAATAGAAAATAAATTACTTGAAAAAGTAAACTAAAAAAAGTAAACTAAATTTGAATCGCTTTAAGTCAAAAAATAATATAGGCAAATTTGTAAATATTAAAAGAAATGCAAGTTGGAAATTATGAGAACATAAAAATTGAAAAATAAGATAAGATTAATTTTCAACTCCTCATTATATTTACTCACCGACTTGACCGTCAAATCCCTGGTGAACTTCTGACCATCCTGGCTAACGCCGATTTGGAGACGGGGCTCGGGAGCCCGCTTGGTGAGCGACGTGGTGATCTCCAGATCCCTGCAAGCAAATCGATTCAACGTGTTCAGTTCTCTCGTTTCGAAGTTCCAACGATCGGCGGGGAAGGACCCCGCCAAAAGGTAGTAAATCAATGCCCCGGCATCGAAAAACAAACATTGTATTCGATCAGGGGAAGGGAAGTGCCGGCAAAAACCCAGACCCAAGGCTCTGAGAGGAAAACGGACACGCCCCGCAATTAAATTGACTGTGGAGGTATTAACGCATGTGAAGCCGCCGGCGTCGATTTGGCGGCTAATTACCTCCTGGTAATGACAACTCTCGGAAGAGCCAAGGGAGCGAAGCAAAAGTGGGAGGCAATCAGCTGGGATAGTTTTGATTTATGTCTCTTGGTTGGGACTTAACCTGACTCAGACTCGGACTTGGAACAAGGCTGGGCATTTAATATGCCATAAACTTTTGCATAGATTGCCCATAAAATTGTGCATAGATGCATTTTCCATTTATGGGCAATTATAAGCGGGGAGACAGGAGCGCGGAGATCCGAACCGTGCCAGCCGAGGGACTTACTCGGGTTCCTGGAATCCCGCCGGTAGCACATCCCGCTTGACGAGCCCGCGAATCCCGCTGGACGTGGAACTGGACCCGGTGGTGGCATTCATCATCGCATTGAAGGCGGGACTAACGCTGGTGATGCATTTAACGCTGACGATCTCCTTGCTGCTGGCCGACTCGATGATGATTTTATGGTAATAAACCTTCTTGCCCTGCAACCGAATAAATATAGAGCTAAAGGGGTTGTCTTTCAACAGGGGCGCACTTTCTTACCGTTAGCTGGTTGACCATCCTCGTGACTCCGCACTCGTAAAAGTCACTCAACGACAGCCTAAACACTGCCAGGGATCCGTCGATCTGCGGCTGGCACCGCTCATCCGGGTAGCCCTTGAGTCCCTCCAAATAGATCTGTGGAGCACTTTGATTCTTGGAGTCCGCATCTGGCAGACCGATGTCTACCCTCATCTGGTCCTCTGAACAGTGCACCTTGTGGGAGCCTGAAAATATAAACGAACATTTCACTTTATCTGTGCTGGCTGCCGTTTCCACATTCTTTGGTATATGGTAAGAAGTGGGCTAGCATGTCGTCCAGTAATAGGAGCTGGACTGGATTCTGGACTGGCTAGCCGGGCCACGCCCCCTATCATCATCGTCGTCGGACGTTGACGAGATGGACCCGGGCAGCAAACACTAAACAATTGCCAAACATAATTGGCATGTGTTGAGGAGCGAGTTTGTGGCTTAAGTCTTTTGTTTTTCATTCGTTACTACACTCTAAGAAATGGCCTAATATCTTGTAAAAATACTTTAGGCATATATAAAATATTATAGGATAGCCAACAGCATTTACATTTAAGTTTTACTAACACTTAGTTCAACTTTAAAGATAAAATACTTTAAAAGATAATTTTAGTTGTTAAACACACTGCTAAAAGGTTGTAAAAAATTGCCTTTCTCCTGTGATATTTTAAATCCTTAGGCTGCAATTAACCCCGTATCTTATTGACTATTTGTCTGAGTGTATAGCTCTGCGTTGTCTTTTATCGAGGTGGCTTAATAAACCCGCAGGGCTACTTTCTGGGGCGGTGGAAAGCAAAAACCTGGCATTAGCCCAAGACACACTCACACACTGCTTTGGTTTAGTTTGGTGCGCTTTGGCTCTCGCTTTGGCATAATTTTAGCCCGGACCGGGCAATCAAATTCTTATTACCGCCGAACATGTGTAGGATGCCACAAAATTATCGGCTTAAATGCTTTGCCGACGAGGCCATTAGTTGACCAGGATTTGGAGCAGGCTGGGGACTGAGCAGCGTTGGCATCTGGCCGACCATTGCCATTTGTAGACGGCAAAACTAATTTAAATAATTGACTCTAACTACTTAATCTCGTACTAATGGCCACAGCAAATTTTGTAATT